GGTTGCTGTGGCATTTGGAAGTAGCCGTATAGCATGGTAGTGATCACATGGTGGAGGCAAACACCCTGTGGCTCAGAAAAGACGTCAGTAAATTCTTGAAAAATATTGTCTACCTTCAGTATCTCAGGAGTGCCCATTTCTGATGATTCTTGAGTAAGAAGCATGCCTTGAAGATGCACAAAAGTGTCGCTGCAATTTATATTTTTTTCTATTCAGCCAGAAGATCATGAACATTTTGTTCCGGTTGGCTTGCATAGTGTTCAAAGAAGTCTTGCTGAATAATTAAAGTAGAAAATTTTACCTAAACTTTTGGGCAAACCTGATGGCATTTCACCTTGCTTCCATTAGCAATCTGAACTCCAAAAGTTTGGAATAGTATGAACAAGTAGTTGCAATTCGGATACCACTGTTTCAGAGATGAAATTGTGCGTTGAGCCGCTGTCAACTAAAATAAGAATAGGACGGCCTTTGAGAGTGCCCTGTAGCTTCATCGTGGTTGTGGAATGCTGACCTAGTATTGCATTAAATGAAATTTTGGCATTTGCTGGCTCCATCTCTTCCTTGGCCTCCTCATTTAATGGAGGCAGTACTTCATCCTCCTTGGCAATTTCTAGTAGAGAAAAAGAAGCATTGGAGCGATGCCCAAGTTGAAAGAGAGCCCCACACCTGAAATAGAGGCCCTTTTCTTGCTGGTTTTGACATTCTACATCTTGTGGAGAGATTTTCACCGGCATTAAGGGATTTTTAGGGATGATCGAGGCCAAAGAAGTGGATTTGATGGGATACGCTGAAGCTTTCAACGAGCTTGAGTCTTTGGAGTCTTAAAAATCACTTGGGTCACATGCTGGTTGGGACAGATTTGGGCGGCTTTGAATGTATGAAGAGTTTGGCCTAGGTCCATGTGAAATCTGGGCCTTCTCAAATTCCAGGGCCAAATTTGCAGCCTTATACATTGTTTTAAGTTTTTGAATACGCACGTCAGCCTTTAGTTCTTCCTTGAGGCCGTTAAGAAAAACTCCCAGTAAACATTACTATGGGTAGTTTGAGACTTGTGCGACTCTCTTCGCGAATTCTTGGCGGTATTCTTGCACTGACTTAGCTGTTTGATGCCACTGAGATGTTCATTTGGGTTCAAATATTCTGGAGATACATAGTGCTCCTATAATGCCTTAACAAGCTCTTCGTAACACATCACTGTACGCTCAGAATTTATCCAGGAGAATAAATCCAAGGCATCACCCTCTAGGTACATGTAAGCTACATCTACTTTGAAATCTTCTAGAGTATGATAATAGCAGAAATATTTTTCTGCTTTCAGAGTCCACCCACGCAGATCGCCATTACTGAATTTTGGGAATTCATTTTTTGTGTGTGGTGGCTATAGGTTCCTTCTATTGTAAGCACCGGTAGTGTCCATCCATTTGTCTCCTACCCTTACTGGTTGCAGAAGCCTCAAGTGCTTCTACCTTAATGTTTCTAATTTGGAAGCAATGATGGCCAACGGATCTGTGGCAAATGGCTTTAGAGTCGATTCATTACGATTCATTACGTGTGTTGTTGGAGGGAGTTGGCAAGGGGATTTGTGGTTTCATTTCCAGAGTGTGTGGTCACCATGTAGATCGAACGCAGCTTGGATGCTAAATTGTTAGTACCCAAATTAAGTCTGGTAAGCAATAGCTAAGCAAGGATCTCACTCACACTATCTCTCAACAGTCAATAATAGGAAAATCTTTAATTGAATGAAATAAATTTTGAATAATTCAAGATATCCCGCTTAGACAGTAGCTAGGCTCACACTATCTCTCAACAGTCAATAATAGGGAAATCTTTAATTGAATGAAATAAATTTTGAATAATTCAAGATATCCCGCTTAGAAAGTAGCTAGGATATATATATAGATGACTTACAACTGAATAAATCAAGCAAATGCCAAGAAAATCTCTAACAGTAAATAACTACTGGCACCATAGGATCCATAACACCGTAAGGGTCCTATGTTCTCTCAACGTGCTTCTAAATTAATTCAATTGTTAATTGAAATAAATGATGAAAAATAATAAACCGGAAATTAATTTATCAATGTAGATGGATTTAATTTTAATGATTTATATTTGAAATATATTTAAATTAAATTATGATCATATTTTATATTTTAATTATTTAATAATATATTTTTAATAACTATTTATTAATGGAGATAAAATCTTATGAGATTGCAATTTGAGTTTACGTTCTTATCATGAGTTTACTTACAGTTGCGAATTTAACAACCTTGTTTCAAGCCTTAGAGATTTCTTCAGCAAGCATAATTTGTCACTTTTGCCTCTATCAAACCTTGAAAGTAGAGTTATGTAGACTTTCAATTCTCCATTTAGAAAAACATTCTTGATATTTAGTTGATGAAGAGGCTATTCAAGGTTGGCTATTCAAACTTCTGTTACTAGCGCAAACATTTCTTTGTAGTTTATTGTTTGGGTGAAACCCCTTACTACTAATTGTACTTTAAATTTGTCAAGTGTGCTATCAGCCTTATACTTTGGGGTAAAGACATATTGCAACTAACTAGTTTCTTACCTCCAAGTATTTCAACAATCTCCCATGTTCCATGTTTCTCCAAAGCTCTTATTTCCTCCATAACTGCATTTTTCCATTCTGATACTCCCAGTGCCTCTTGGATGTTGTTAGGAATAATAATTTATTCAAACTAGTAATGAAGGGCCAATAATTAGGAGAGAGAGCCTTGTAAGACACATGCTTTTGAATCAAATGTAAAGTGCAAGATCGAGGTTGTTTCTAGAGAACAATAGGTAGATCAAGATTAGCAGATTCACTAGATGGATCAGTTCTTGGTACTTTAGCTTCAAAAGATTGGTTAAAGTACTCATTACCATTGTTGTTGTGGAAGACTTGGTTGCTAATATTGAATTGGTTTTTGATCATGGTGAAAAAACTCATGAATGTGGATGAAGCTTTTGACTTGTTTTTGAAATGATAAACCTATCAAACATGAGTATGGTCATCAATGAAGGAAATTAACCATTTTTTTTGAGTATGGTTTGGAGTGTGAGATGGTCCTCAGAAGTTACTATAAATGGTTGTGAAAGGTTTAGTGGGTGTGTATTTGACTCTAGGAAAGGAAGTTCAATGGTTTTTGGCAAGTTCACTCAACTTACTGGATTTCACTATGATTCAAGTTTAGGCATAAGGTTGGAAATAATCATTGAAGGTGATGAAAATTAGGATGACCTATCTTGACTATTTGACGATGAAGGTGTCAATCCTACTTTGACGACGACAACAGTTGAGATAGTCAAGTAGCTGAGCTTGATCACTTTTTGCCTCTAAACCAACGAAATTCCCCTTTCCGAAATCATTGCTTCTTCCAAATTGCAAGAACTCTTTGCAATGTTCATGGTTCATGACTCATATCCTTGTCAAGCATAAACATTTTAGAACTGCACAAGAGATGCCTGAGAAAATTGGCCACAGGGATTTTCTGTCATTGCCATCAGTTTTGAGAACTTTGATTGAAATTCAACATGGCCAAAAAGTGAATTCGCATATATTGAGCTGGCTTGTAATACATTATACAAAATCAAAGATGACTGATAATGCCACAGTTTTTTGAGCAGATGAAGCTATATAAATTGAAACCTCATTTGCATGCCATGTGCTCAGAAGTTATTTAATCTTATTGAAGGGAGGGATATGGTAGGTGATTGTGTTATTCATAGAAGTCTTGCTTATACGTAATGGAAATCAGGGAATGCAAAGGTTGTATCAAATATATTTGAAGAGATGACTAGGAGGAGGTTGATGATAACAGGCAAAATATAATAAATGTTTCGGTAATCCTCTTGATAGTGAAAACAAAACTTCATGTTCATTCTGGAATTATGTGGTGGATAGGGGCCTTATGTCAAGAAATACCATGAATAAAGTAAAGAAGATGGAATTATGATTATTAACCATTGTTCACTAGAATTTTCAGTTTTATTTTGAAGCTTTTGGAGTGGAAAAAGAATTACTGGCCATGATTGCATTTATAGCCTTCTTTCTGTATCTTTTCTTCATAATATACTAGAGGATAGCAGCAATTGGCTTTGAACAGAGTCTGATCATTTATTAACTAAAGTCTGAGGAAATATATTTATATGCTAATGGATTAAACTTACTATTTCCTTTTGACATTAACTCACTAGGCATAACTTCTTTTCTCTGTAACTTGGGATTCATAGCTAGCAGGTTTCTTAAAATTCTTAGACTCTAGATAGATCAAGAATATAAGTTATAGTTTGATGCTTCCTTGTGTTTTGGCCACTGAATATTGTTTTCTGCTCTTTCATTAATTTGCATAAAAATCCATATATTCGCTTGCTATAGTGTTGAACTACTGAAAATTCTTATATTTGTTGATTGTTGATTCCCATCACCTTCAAATTAACCACATTTCTATAAGAGACATGTGCATTAGCATTCTCTGTTGTGGTGCTGAATTAATGAAAGTAGTTAATATTTGTTGATTCTTTTGGCATTAACTAACCTTATTGCTCAGACCAAAAATGGAAGAGATTTCATGTAATTGGCTATGAGTAGAATATGTAGCCAAAACTGGAAGTATTTTGATGCATATTTGAACCTCATCCCCAAGACGTGAGGAAGAAAATTTGATTTCTTTTTAAATAACATAGAAAGTCTGGTTATTTGTCCATCAAAATGGGATTGTATGAAAATCAGTCTTCTGTCAATTTACATTGCCTCGGAGACCTATTTTGCTCTATCTACTACTTAGAGGAAAATGTCCTTGGCTGTATCTGTTGTGTTCAATTTTAATTGGAAAACACTTCTAGCTGTTACATTTTTGCTCTGGTTTTATTTTGTGAATGGGTTTCTTCGTCCATGTCCTTCCTTTTGTTATTGATGAACTGGTCTTCCTCTTCCTCAACTCTTGATTTCATCAAATTTGGCTTGAGTTTGTTTACATCTGACTACCGAACAGGTTTCAGAAAAAATTCTCGAGCTCTTCCTCTAAGCATCTGATACAAAAACAAGGCCAGGTCAGATCCAAGATTCAGTCTGTTATAACCTCTGGGTTTGTAATTTTAATTTGAAATTTTTAGTTACTGTCTTGTCATGATATTTGATTTGGGTTACAATTTGCAGTTTCCCTCACCTGTTGATCCTTGATGGGACATTCTCTGAGGACATAATCTCCAATGGTAAGTTTTTGAGAGATTCAGATTCCTGCAAAATTAATTATCTTCTATTTTGATTTATCTAACCTTAAATAAAAATAATAGAATTTTGTAAGTTATGGTGTCTCTAATGTATAATTTTTGGATTCAAACAAACTTGTCTAGCATGGAGAAGAAAAAAACTCTCGACTTTTCATCCATCTATCCATCGATATACTTGTTTAATTTTTTTTATAAATCACTTTTAACATATTTTGTTAAAATAAAAAAAACATTAAAACTCATTAATATTGCTCTTATTAAATATTTTTTTAATAATATACTTTCTCTCACCTACATTTAATGGAGGGTAAAGAGGAAAATATGATAAAAACTTAAAATGAAAAAAAAAAATCATGCCTCTCCATCTTATAAATAGAATTATCACACCTTGATACTAAAGGTATGAGCGACACGAAATGTGAGATAACCTTGTATTCTATAAGCTTTAATTAACTAAAAATTAAGCGAAATTTTTGATAGATAGTTTTTTATATACATTTATAAAGTTTGTAAAGTTTTAAATATGTTGTAAAAATTTTGATAGAATTTTTCCTATAACTTGAACCTCACCAAGTTCCTGCAATAATGAAATCAGCCAATCACAAAAGAGACTAGCTTTACACTACTAGATTATATATCAGCAAAATAAAATTAGAATCTAACTACAGTATATGTGAAGCACCAAATTATAATTTCATAATATAAAATATATTTACATCAAAAGTAACCACCATACACTTCCATGGTTCAAAAGCAATTGTGTCCCTCAATGATCAATAGGAGATGCAGGGTCAATTTTAATATTTGAGACCAAAGAAAATCTTTTTGGTGAGTAGCGTGTCAATTAATAGTTGAAATAAATAATGAAAAGCAATCAATTTACTAAAATAATCAATTGCAAATAATATAAATCAAGAATACAAAAATAGAAATGAATGTTCCAAATTTTAAATTTTTAAATTTCTACACATGTTTAAACATCTTAGGATATATATATATATATATTTATAGTACTCAATACAAATTTTATGTATAGTTAAAAAATAGCAGTTCGTTTTTTAAGATTAAATTTAAAGAAAATAGTTTCAAAATTTCTTTTTTAATGAGACTTGATTAGAATGATTAACAAGCGTGCAAATAGAGTTTGTGAGAGTAAGTAATATATCCAGCATGGCAAGAAGTCACAAAAGTAGGCGCTAGTATAAAGCTCACAAACAACAGGTATAGATTATATCCGTGAAACTATATCTTCCATTTCACGTGTGTTGGCCGGCACACAGGGCTAGCACCTCCAATGCACCTTACTAGCTAGGTGTATCATGACACGTCAAGGGCTAACGAAACTATCATTAGCATCTAAAATTATAAACTTAGTCTTCCTAATTAAATCAAGCGTGCATGAGGTTGAAATATTCATTAAAAACCATTCCTTTTAAAATATAATATTCAACTATCAAAATTTCTTTTCATTATTCTTTATGCACGAATCATCGTATTAACAACTGTCATATAAATTATAAAATTTAAATAAAAGAAATATTTAGAATAAATAATCAGTTAATAATGTACTGGATTTAAATATTTTTCAATAATAGCATAATTTTTAATAAAAATAAAAGAAATTTCATAATAAACTAATTAATATAAAAGTGAGGTAAGTAAAAAGAATTGTATAAATCTTACAAATAAAATTAACAAGAATATTTAAACAACTTATAAAAAAATGCTGTAAAAATTTAAATAAAGAAATTTTATGTACACTTTGCAAACAATTATTTTTCTAAAAATTTTAAAGTTTGCTTCTCTTATCTCTTTACTTTAATTTTAATGATGTTTTTAATTTTCGGACAAATAAATTATAATCCTAAAATCATTATCAAGTAATTTTTCAGTCAAATTCAGGAATGAATATTTTATTTAAAACTAACCACCACATCATTACGTTCAATTATAATTTCTTAGAGCTTTGTCATCAATAATATGAACTTTAAACCCAAAATATAAATTTCTCATTTTCTATCAATAAACTCAAAATTAACTATGTCAATTAATCGATCTTACCATTCTTGTAAGCATTCAGACAAACCTCTTAGCAGCATTTTTATTTTCTCATCACATAATCAATTTGCATACATCCTAACCTCTTATCTTCACCATTTAATTCTTAAATCAAACTTTCATATACTATTTAAATATTATTAAAAACACAAAATATTTCAAATTAAATCCCAGTCAATTATTTGAATCACCTTTGGCAGCGACTTACATCAGCACCCCTTAATAAGAAATTTTTAGCATGATATACTTATTCCTCAAAGCTTCTTCCTTGAATGCTTTAAACAACAAAGAAATTCAATTTCCCTCTTCACTAAACAATAACCAACAGAAATAGTAAAGCAGAACTTTAGTTCCCATCATCATCAGTCACGAAAGAACTATTTGGAAGGGGTAAAAATCACATACAGCAAAAGAGAAGGAATTAAGCTTCATCTAGCACATCTAGCAGTTGAGGAGGAAAGGAAATTGAAGACCAAACACATACACACACGAACATAGAAGAACAGAGAGTGACAGAAGAAGAGAATCCAACGACTCCACCACCTCCAGTAGCTAATCGTGATAGTAAGGATAGCACGAGTCAACGGCGACGGAGAAAACCAACGACGGGGACTGGAGAGAGATGGGTCGACGATGAAGTCTGGAGGAGTATATTGGCAGTGGAGAGAAAGAAGAGAGAAATAAAAAACAAAGATGGGATGCTCTGTTTCATGAAGTTTCGAGCAGAGGAGAATATAAATTTGATTCAAAAAGACAAGTGAGAAAATTACAAAAAAAAAAATTATCAAAAAGGCACAGAATTTTTTATAATTAAAAAATAAATAAAACTTAACTTTTATTCAATAAAATTTGAACTTTAAATTTTTACAAAATTTATTAACATAAGTTTCTATTAGTCACTACTCTCCACTCATTATAAAACTAATTTAAATAAAATATTAATTTGTAAAAAAAATTAATATAATTTAATTTAAAATTTAGGATCATTATAAGAATCATATAGAGCATATACAGACGTGTACTCCTCTAACTTTATTTGTTAGTTATTTCTATCACATTTTACTAAAATTAAAAAAAAATTTAAAATTCATTAGTTTTGTCTGAAAATTTAGTAAATTTTCAACTATCATTGTCACCACCACCAATATTACTACTAACACTACTGTTGGATGGATGGATGGATGAACACGGTACTACCGCTACCTCCTTAGTTATATATTTTGATTCCATTATTGTATATCATTTATATCATTCCCCTTGAAATTAAAAACAATCATGATCAGTGACAATGTCAACGTGTGACGAATTATTTCGCATGCAAGTGTTGGTTATCAACACTCGTCTTTGTATTCTCAATATGGAAAAGAAACTTGTGCATATCATGTGCTAATTACAATGACGTCGAGTTATCTAGATAGTCGATTATATATGATGGGATAGGGCTTGTTGTCTTGTATCTCTCTTCGTAATCTTTCTCTGCCTGGTACAAAATCAAGCCTCCAGAGGCATTAATTAATCCAGTCATTAGATTCTCATGCATCTTTTTGTTTTATCTTCCTCCTCTTCCTTGTTTCACACACTTCTCTCAATGGTCCAGGGTTTTTAATGGCTGCTTGATCTTACTGCAATAATGGAAGCCTTTTCAAGGACTTCGTGATATCTCTTTCCAGTAAGCTTCTATCTGGGTCCATATGTATGGGTTGCCAATACAATTTTATACTAAATACTATGCTTCTTTGATTGGCAACTCGTTAGGAACTTTTCTGTATTTTGATAGTAACGTTTGCTATAGCAACTCTGGACTGTGTATACGTGTTTCCTTTAACATTCAAGAGCCATTAAAGTTGCAAGGAACACTTTGGTCTTTCTTCAGGCGAGGAGTTTGATTTCTCCATCTATTATGCAACTCCATCGCTTGTGTTTTAATTGTCATCGCATAGGACATGTTCATCAGAATTGCTCTCAGATTCTCTCGTTTTCATTCATTTCCTGTGCTAAAAGCTGGTTTCTTAAATATTTTCATGAAGAATCAGTACGTGTGATTATTGATTGGTCCAAATTTTCCTATTAAGTTTCTGATTGGTGATCTCTTCTGTTTAAAGATTCAGCTTCTCCACTCACTTTTGGTTCAGATGATGCGTTCACACTTAATTCAGCACCCACTGGACAGACTTGGTGCTTGCGCGTACAAGATGAAGACAAGTGAATTTCTCTCTACTTGGACAGATGTCCGTTGTTGAAAGCATAAATTGCCTCTCTCGATGGATGGTTCAGATGCCTCTGAACGACAGAGTTAAGCAAGTTTTTAATCTTCAAGTACAATCATCCGATCAACCATCTTCTTCTAACACGAGAGAGTTGTCTTCCTCAGGGCAGAATCAATTTAAGATATTAACAGCTTCTGTTTCATTTTCTCCACGTCTACAATTTGATGACGTCATTCCCGTCATCAGCACAAGGCACCCAAATTTCAACAACCACACATCATATAGCTTCCGTCTCCTGCCTCAGTTCTTCCTGATCACCATGCATTTCCAGAATTGGGTTTTGCAGCTGGTACTAGCATGTCTCCTATTGTACAGACTTTCACCCACGCATGCAAACGGAAATTGGCTGTGTTTTTGGCTAGCAAAACAGATCAGAAGGATGTTGGTTTTTGCGGAGTTTTATCGAAAAACTCTGCACAGTAGATGAAACGATGGAGGGCCTTCACGGACAGCAACATGGTAAAGGCCCAGAACAAGGAGCTGCTCTTTTGGATTACTGTCTTTTCAGTCTGGCTTTATATGTTGTCTCAAGTTTTCTACTTCGCCTTTTGGTTGTGTAAGTGTCTCTGCTGTTGCATGTTTTCTGGAATATCATTGGCAAGATTTTCATCAGCCCATGTTTTTGGCCTGGGTCTTTCAACTCCTACCGGAGATTTTCAAAGCTCTTGTTCTCCAATATGCATGGAGATCAAGCATTCTCATGGTTCGTACAACACTGTCAACTAGTTGGTGGGCCTTTCTTGGGGAAAGTTACTTATCAGTTAGCAACGGACCACCCTTCATCCTGCCATGCTCACGACTAGGGCTTTTGTTCAGCTTTGGTTTTTTTTTTTTTTCATAACAAAGGAGGGAACTAGCCCAAAGTTAAAAATCAAAGAGGTTGGGAATTTAATCCCATAACATCATGCTGAATCATAGCCCGTAAGAAAAGAGGGGCAGAGTCAAAAATTCTAGAAACTGACAAACCATGTTTAGCTAACATATCTGCAGCACCATTGGCTTCTCTTGGAATGAAACTTAAATGAAAATCCTCCCGAGCTCTCAGAAAATCTCTAATTTTCATGTAGATAATGCTTCCCTTGACTTGGACATTGTCCTCCACATTGAAAGATTCCACCAGAGTCTTAGAATCAGACTCAAAGATAACCTTAGAGAAGCCCAAATTAGATGATAAAAGCAGCCCCTTAAGCAAGGCCTATTGCTCCACCTCCTTAACCGAACAAGACCCAATGTGGTGGGAGAAACCTACAACTCTTTTCATCACGTAATAAACCTCCCAGGATGCTCTATCACCAAACCTCGACAGTGCCCCATCCACATTGAATTTAAACCATTGATTTGGAGGAGAGGTCCAAATACCCACATCACAATGTTCAGCCTAAAGAACAAAATGTTTCCAAATATAGCTTATGACAGTAGAAGGATTAAAAGGTTTACAAAAGATAGGTTTAAATATGAAGTCATTCCTCCAAATCCATAACTTCCAAATAGCAACACCCCATACTAGATCCCAATTAGTAGCCAGGACAAGACCCAATTGTCTTTTCTGATTCATATCACACCAATTCTCAAGAGACGCAGAAAAGAATTCTGAATGGTACATTGGATTTACAGGTTTGCGCCATAATTGATCTGCATAATGACAATCTCTAGGGATATGCAAGGTATTTTCCTCCTCATTTTTACTCCAGTCACAAAGTGAAGAAGTATTAACCCAATGATGCCTTCGGACATTAGTTGGCAACTTATTGAGGAAAGCTACTAAAAGAAATAAATGAATCCTCTCAGCCCCTCTCCACTTCCAAATCCTCTTATACAGAGGATTATAGAGATTTTCATTATATCCTTCAATTAAATCATACGCACTTTGAAGAGCAAAAGTACCTGTAGGACTAGCACCCCAAGACATTATATCATCACCTCGATGGTGTGCAGGCAGAAAGGATGCTATTAAGTGTTGAATAACAGAATTATCCACCAACTCTTCAAGTCTAGAGAAATCCCACATATCATAATTCACCCACTCAACCACTTTTCTAGCAGCCTCAGTGTTTGATAAGGGTCTAGTACAAAAATCTTAGATTTTTTTTTCTTTTCCATCAACCAAATGTCATCAAAGAAATTAACAGAATGCCCATTCCTAACTTGCCATTTCATTCCTTTTTCCATAAATTCTTTTTGCTCACAGATGAAATGCCAAAGGAGAGAATCCCCTTTCTTAGCAATCAAAAGATCATGCTTATTAGTCAGCATGTATTTATGTTGCAAAACCTCAGACCAAAGACCCTTTGAACTAGAGAGAAGGTTCCATGCCAATTTAGTACCGCATGCCTTATTTAAGGAAATTAAATTCTATAAACCCAATCCACCCTGGCTTCTTAACTGTCTTCCAGTTAATGAGATGATAAGTCTTATGCCTTTGATTACTACCCCATATAAATTTCCTCTGCAATTTCTCCACAGCATTACAGACCGAAACCGGTAAATTTGCCACTTGCATAAGATAAAGTGGAATAGTACTTAAAACTGATTTAATGAGAGTAATCCTTCCTGCAGTAGAAAGGCAATTTACCTTCCAATTGGCCAACTTAGTTTCCACTCTATCAACAACATATTTAAACCTTTCAGTATGTTTACCGAAGTTAGATATAGGAAATCCTAAATCATGCCCTATATACTCAGTGATTTTCGTACCTCCTGCTCTTTTTATTCTTCCCCTGTCTACAGTAGCCATGTTTCTTGAGAAGTAGATTGAAGATTTATCTTTGTTAATTCTCCTTCCAAAAGCATCACAGAAGGACTCTAAACATGACAACATAACCTGCATTTGGCTCACTGAAGCACCCCCAAATAGAAGAAGATCATCCGCAAACAGGAGATGTGAAATCTCCGAGCCTTGTTCAGTTACTTTTATAGGTTTTCAACTCCCAGTATTCACAGCATCGGTAATGAGATGCGATAGTTTATCCATACACATCACAAATAAAAAAGGATTGATTGGATCTCCTTGACGGAGTCCCGGTTTAAAAAACTTAGTTTGACAACCATTCTAGAGTATATAATAACTAACTGAAGTAACACAATTCATAATTAAGCTAATCAATTTATAGTCTATTCCTGTATCAAGTAGAACTCCATGAAGAAATTCCCAATTGATATGATCATATGCCTTTTCAAAGTCAATCTTCATTGCTACTAGACCACACTTCTTATGCAACCTCTTCATATTATGCATTATTTCTTACCCCACAATAATATTATCTTGAATATGCCTGCCACGTATAAAACTAACTTGGAAAGGTGAGATTAACTTGTCCATAATTGGTTTAAGACGCTGAGTAATGATCTTGGTGATAAATTTATAGTGAACTGAACACAAGGAGATCGATTAGTCAAAAGTTCCCTTCTGCTATTGGATGATCCCTCTTGGGGATTAGCAAGATTAAAGTCTGGTTTGCTTCTTCAAGAGAACTACCACCCTTAAAAATCTCCTTCACAAAATTACAAACTAAAGGACCTATAATACCCCAATTAGCCTGGAAAAATATTAGTAAATAACTATCGACCCTTAGAGCTTTATAAGGACCCATATCAAAAATAGCCCTGCGAATCTCTTCATCAGATGGCATGAATCCCAAATTTGAGAGCTGACTATCGTGTAAAACTGGGAAATTAGTCCTAGAATAAAGTTGGTTGATATGTACTTCTTCACATTCATATAGTTTCCTAAAGAACTGTGTAACTATAGCCTTAATATCTTCAACATTTTCAATGTAAATACCTTCATCATTCAACAATGCTTTGACTCTGTTCCTTCTCTTTCTCAAGTTAGATTTAAGATGATAGTAACGAGTGTTTCTATCCACCTTAAAGACCATTGTGATCGAGATTTTTGAAACCATTTGATTTCTTCACATTTCAATATACCTTCCAATTCATCCTGTAACTGGTGCTCCAAGATCCTTAAGAACTTTGATCTCGGATATGCAACTGAGGCTTGGATCCCATTCAATCTAGCCAGGACTATATTCTTTCTTTTTTCTACATAACCGAAAACTTCCCTATTCTAAATCAGCACATATTCCGTAAAAGAATTTAGGTTGTCTTCCAGTAACCCAAAATGCCTCCACTCTTCTTTAAGAAAATCCTTAGAACTTTCATGAGTAAGCCACATTGCCTCAAAACGGAAAGGTTTCACTCCCTTATATCCTCCCAATTCACTTAGAGTCAAAAGGAGAGGATTATGATTAGAAAACTTCATTTTAGGGAGAACTTTAACTAAACAATTTGGAAAATCAGTGAGAAAATGGGTATTACCTAACCCACAATCTAACCTTTCAAATAATTTGTTGTAACCACTGTTACGGGCCCCTTTCCAAGTAAATTTAAGTCCATAAGAGCCTAAATCAATTAAATCACAATCATTGATTCTTTCCCTAAACCAATCAAAACGTGCCTGATTACCTCTGGCTCCTCCCACTCTCTCAATTGTAGATAAAATATCGTTGAAATCTCTAAGGATGACCCACGAATCTGTGATCGAAGAAGCCAATCTCTGGAGTTGATTCTAAAGAACCTGTCTGTAGTTAGAATGAGGAATCGCATAAATAGCTGTAATCTACAAAGGTTTATTTTTCAAAGTCCAAACATCATAGATGAAAGAATTGTCAATTCTCTTCCAGCACATCAACATCTATTAAGAAACTCTTCCAAGCTGCCACAAGACCACTAGAACGTCCCGTACTTAGTACAACTCGAATTGAGTCAAAACCAAGAGAATGAAGGCATCTAAATCTTTGGATATCTTCACACCGAGTTTCAGTCAAGAAAATGATATTGTGTTTAGGACCATCCAACACCACTTTAAGGTTACTGAGAAGCCCACTACCACAAGCTCCTCTAGTATTCCAATAAAATATTTTATTCATAAACTGAGTAAATAAGAATAAAGAGCTCCTAATAAAAACAAACCTATTAGGCCTGCTGAGTCTTAGGGATGAAAGTGTCCTCAAATTCATCTCCTGACTTCATGTCGCAAAGATTTGGACCATTGAAAGAAGGCCCAAAAGGTGAACCATCCGACTACTCATCCATCCAACAATCCCCTAGATCAATAGGCATGAGGAATGGGCTTGGCACACCAGCAACAGTAGGCCCAATATTTGTATCTTCACTCCTTTCCACTCCCATAACCTCATCCTCATCAGAGCCCATAGTCAACATCAAAATCTCATGGCTTCTAATGTGATTCACAAACATTTCTCTAGTTCTCTTTTCTGCTCTCTTAATGGTCACTTGTTTTGCTCCAATTACTTTTTCTAATTCCTCCACTACTGCTGTACTTATCATGTCCTCCCAGTCCAGTTCTTTATCTTTTCCTGCATCTCTCCTCTTTTTTTCTCTTTTCGTATGAATAAGGGCTGTCACATTGTTCACCTCAGCATCATTTGTCTCTGACGTAATAATCACTTTATTCAGACTTTGTCCCTCGTTATGACCTTCCTTCGCCCCCATATCAACAAGGATATCAAATCTTGCACTATTTCCCCCTTGATTTGAAGTTGTCCCCACCTTATCCTTTGCTTTTCTCTATCTACCCTGCTTTTGAACCACTTTTCAAGTCTCACCATCATTACCATTTTTTCAATCATTGCACATCATAAACACTTGGTTCAGGGCTATGAGCATGTCCCTCTACAACATTAGATTGTGGCTATTTTTGATTA